AATTGTGGATTCGGTTCTTAATTGTCTGAAATTATAATATAACTTATAATTATAATCTTACATAAAATTTATTCTGGTCTTAAATTCCGATTATAAAATTTTTGGATATTACAGCCCCCGCTCAAAATTGTTTCCAATTGCATTTTGGAAGCAATTTTGAGGAGTTGGAGTTTTAATTTTTATGTGTAATATGTATTAAGTTATTTTGCTTGATAACCGTGCACCGGGCGGTGGCCGTGAGCGGCTGGGTGTTGACGATGGCATTCTTGGGAGTTCGGATTACGTTGTATTTCCGGTTCACCTGTCAGTTTCCTTCGCTCACTCGATGACTTGTGAAGTATTTTGGATTAATTTGGTTTGTGTGCCAGGGATTTTATTCATTACAGTAAGTATTTTGGGATATTTCCATTCCTATTTTATTTTTGACACGTGTGCAGTGGTTTATTTTCTTGAGTTCGCTGTATTTGTATGCAAACATTCGGGTTTTTTTTTGCTATTTTATCTGTTGGTTTCTTACTTATTTTTTTTATTTATGTTGTTTTGTATTTTGTGGTAAATTTTGAATTTAAAGTTCTTATGGCGGGTTGTGAGGGGGGTGTGGTGAGAGGCTTGTGCCCGTGCGAATGTCGCACAAAGAGGAGCGGCCGATTGAAACCCTCCAAGCTCTTATGCATGGGAGGTGTATTCTTCTCCATTCCTCTTTGTGCGACATTCGCACCAAGAGGAGTGGAGGATGAGCCATATATGGTTCCTCACACTCACGTGCCTGGGCTCTATCTTTTTTTTCTTTTCTCTTCTCTGGGCAATAAGACTTTGTTATTACTAATTAATTGTTATTTCCAATTATTTATTAACAAATTTTTAGTTTAATAATTTTTTTTTTTAATGTTCGTGCTATATGTANGTGTCCTCAAATCATAAATAGTCTTTAAGCCCTTCCGGCTACCTCCAATCATTTAATTGATCTTGAATCAATAAATCATAGTATTTCATCGGCACGTCNGGGTGTGGTGAGAGGCTTGTGCCCGTGCGAATGTCGCACAAAGAGGAGCGGCCGATTGAAACCCTCCAAGCTCTTATGCATGGGAGGTGTATTCTTCTCCATTCCTCTTTGTGCGACATTCGCACCAAGAGGAGTGGAGGATGAGCCATATATGGTTCCTCACACTCACGTGCCTGGGCTCTATCTTTTTTTTCTTTTCTCTTCTCTGGGCAATAAGACTTTGTTATTACTAATTAATTGTTATTTCCAATTATTTATTAACAAATTTTNGCAATCATTGAGCGTGTCATTTCGTACAAAATTCAAATACAAAACAAAATAATCAGTCATACAAAATTAACTCTAAAAAAAAATGACTCTCGTTGAATGGCAGGTTTGATTTCAAGTCTGGTGGCAACCAATCGAAAACCCCAAAAACCACGCGAAGGTCTACAAAAACCATGAGATAATTTGTNTTAATGTTCGTGCTATATGTATATGCATCTGCGTGTATACATATATATATATATATAT